TTTTGTGAGTGATTTATGGAGATGCCAAGAGGCGCTGGGCTGTCAGAATGGTCGAAGTGTCAGGCCTGATGTATGAGGAGAGGGCCGATGATGACCAGCGGCCCAGCTGCTGGAGGGCAGAATGGGGTAGTCCTAGGGACGCGGCGCCTATCCGGAAGGAGTGAGCTGTGTAGAGATGGGGAGACAGGTTACAAAGCAGCAGTACGGACTTTAGTTGGGCCCTGAACCAGTTAGATGTCATTGGGAGGTGATCGGGGGTGAGAAATAACGGTCCGTTGAGATCTCCTTTCCTTTTTTTTTTTTTTTTTTTTTATTTAGGCATACAGGAAAATACATAGTTACAGTACAATAAACAACAAAGGTACTAGTGGGGTTAGGGTAGGGTAAGTACGTGTGTGTGTGTGTGTGTGTGTGTGTGTGCATGTGTAAGTGTTTGAGCTTGTGGGAGATATAAAGCTGAGAAATATATACAAACATGTACACCTACATATACTCTTTCACATATATAGACCAGGATGCAATAACTATGACAATCAAACGGCAACTAACAATAAAGAAACAACGTACAAAAAGAATAAATAAGTAGATATTTGAAAACAATGACAATAACAATACTTATGTTGTGTTTTCCCCTGTGCTAGTGTTGCGTTAAAAAAAATGTGAGGGGCCTAACAACTCCAGGTTGTTCACCCTCATTGAAAGGCCCCTCTCCACTTGCCCTGTGCTATTTGTGTTCGCTATTATTATTACCCTTACTATTATTATTATTATCATTATCATTATCATTATCCTTCGTATTGTTATTATTATTATTCTAATTATTCCATATCAATATTAATATTGTTATCATCATTGTTTATTGCCCAACTCACTATTGCCAATATTAGTGCCATTGCCATTGTCATCATTACCGTCACATTTCATACATTTTTCTATTGTAGTATTTTGTTGTCGCAGTTGTAGTAGGATATTTAACCATGATATTGGCTTATAGTGTGTGATTGTTGAGTCCAGTTGCTATGATTGGAGGAAGGAGAGGAATGGACAGGTAGATGTGTGTGTAGAGAGTTGTGAGTAGTTTTCAGTTGATAAATGATCTAACAGGAGGTGTTTCCAAGTGGTGATGTGTATGTTTTTTTTTTGATTTCCAGTTGATTAGAATTACTTTCTTGGCGATTGTTAGCGACACCAATAGTTGTTTTTTAAGGTATTGATTGAGGTCTAGTGTGGAAGTGTCTCCGAGTAAACAGAGGGAGGGGGACATTAGGATGTGGCAGCCAAGTATGGAGGAGAGTGACTCAGTGACTAGTTGCCAGAAAGTGTTGACCGGTGTGCAATGCCAGAGAGCGTGGAGGTAGTCGTCTTTGTGATTTTGAGTGCAATGTGAGCATATTCCTGTGCTGAAACCCATTTTGGAAAGTTTGTGGTCTGTGTAGTGGTATCTATGAAGAACTTTGAACTGTATGAGTTGTAGGTTTGAGTTATTGGTCATGAAGTAAATGTTGTTACAGGTTTGGGTCCAGAAATTGGCATCGGGAGCAAATGCTAAGTCTTGTTGCCATTGTGAGATTGGAAGCGAGTGGGTATTGTCAATTCTTGTAAGTAATTTGTATATTTTGGAGTTTAGGTTTTTGGGTGCAAGCTCCAGAAGATCTGTGATGAATGGGCTTGGGTCCAGGTCTATTGTATGAATATTGATTTTATTTAGGATTATTGATCGTAATTGTGAGTATTCTAGGAAGCATTTGCTCCCGATGCCATATTCCTGAGACAGTTGTGTGAGTGATGACAGTGTGTTGTTAGCGACAATGTGACCTAAGTGCGTTATACCTTTGCTTGCCCAGGATTGGAATATTAATGGTTTATTGTTGCTTGTGAATTCCGGGTTGTGCCAGAGTGGTGTATATTTGGATGGTGTGAGAGGGGTACCTGTTATGTGATGGAGGTTCCACCAGGCTGTCAGAGCTGTAGCTATTGTGGGTGTTTTGAATAGTGGAAGTTTTTTTGTTGATTTATTTAGAAAAGGTAGGTCTGAGATTTTGATATTGTTACATAAAGATTGTTCAATGTCGATCCAAATTAGGTCGGCTGGGTCTGGGTGGGTCCATTTATGGATGAATTGTAGGTGGCTGGCTAGGGAGTAATGATAGAAGTTTGGTGCATTGAGGCCTCCTTGAGATTTTGGTTTCTGGAGAGTGGAGAGTTTTATACGTGGGGTTTTATTTTGCCAGTAGAATTTGATGAGTATTGAGTCGAGTGATTTGAACCAGGATGAGGTGGGTTGAACTGAAGTCATTGAAAGGTGGTAAACAATTTTGGGAAGAATTGACATTTTTACAAGGGATATTCTGCCTGTGATGGAGATGGGTAGGTTTTTCCAGCGTTCTAGGTTGTTTTCTATTTGTTTTAGAAGGGGGGAGAAGTTGAGGGCGAACAGCTCTGACAGCCTGGGGGAAACTTTAATTCCAAGGTAAGTGATGTGATTGGAGCAGAGTGGGACTGGGGGGTGGGGTGCTGCCACATCCCAACTATCATGCTGTAATGGAAGTATTGATGATTTGCTCCAGTTGATGGAATATTGGGATAGTATGGAGAATGACTGTATTTGGTTTGTTGCATGGTGGAGTGATGATGTTGGATTCTGTAAGAAGAGAAGGATATCATCTGCATATAGACTGATTTTATGTTCATGGTTTTGTGTTTGAATTCCTTTTATTTTGTTGTCTTGACGGATGGATGCTGCAAGCGGTTCTATAAAGATTAGAAATAATAGAGGAGAGAGTGGGCATCCCTGGCGAGTGCCGCGGTGCAGTGTGAAGTGCTGTGATGTTAGACCATTAGTGATAACAGTAGAGGTGGGTGAGGTGTAGATAATCTTAACCCAGTTTATGTAGGACTCCCCGAAGCCGAACCTCTCCAGTGTGGCAAACAGGAAGGTCCAGTCGACCCTGTCAAAAGCCTTCTCTGCATCGAGGGATGTGAGTAGCTGGAGGGTAGTTTTGGATCTTTATTGGGCTTGAGGATTAAGGATATTGTAGCTGCATTCATATGAGTTGGGAGTCTGGAGTTTTGTTTCGAATCTTCTAACATGCGCATGAATAGTGGAGAAAGTATGGGCCAGAAGTGTTTGTAGAACTCAGCAGGGAAGCCATCTGGGCCAGGCGATTTGTTATTAGGCATACTTTTGAGAGCAGAGAAGATTTCTGCATCTGTGATTGGTGATTCTAGCTTTGATATTTGATTTGGGAGGAGAGTGGGGAGATCAATGTTGTTAAGGAAGGAATGAATGGATTCCATGTTTGGATCTGATTCAGAGGAATATAGTTTTGTGTAGAAGCGCTGGAATGTGTCATTTATTTCTTTATGTGAAGTTGTTGGCTTCCCTGCTGAGTTCATTATAACCGGGATTGAACTTTTTTCCTTATTCAATTTGATCTGGTTTGCGAGGTATTTACCTGATTTATTGCAATGAAGAAAGTGTTCTTGTCTTAGCCTGTGAGTGAGGAATTGCATTCTTTTGTTTGTTATATGATTTTAGTTCATGTTTTAGATTTAATAATTATTTTTCTGAATTGGGAGTTGGGGTAGTCATATTTTTTTGTTCCAGTGTTTTTATTTGTTGTTCTAGATTCTGTTCAAGTTCTTTTTCTTTTCTGGATTTGTGGACCGAGAAGGCAATGATTCGACCTGTCAAGACCGCCTTCCCTGTCTGCCACAAGAGAGAGGGTGATATCTTCGGGGAGTCATTGAATTCCATAAAGGATGTCCACTCTCTCCGGAGAAACTTGTCAAAGTCTGGGTCTGAGAGAAGAGATGTGTTAAACCTCCATCTGGAGGGTGGTTGGGGTTGGTCAGAGTAGTTCCAGGTGATTGATACTGGGGCGTGATCGCTGATTATTATGGGGTGGATCTGCTGTTCTGTGATTTGTGGTATGATGGAGTTACTACTGAGTATTAGATCAATCCGAGAGTATGAATGATGAACAGGTGAGTAAAATGTATATTGCTCAGTTGTTGGGTGGTTAAGTCGCCAACAATCGCCAAGACCAAAATCTTTGATGCGTTGTTTTAGCGTTTCAGTGGATTGAGAGACACGTGGATTGTTGTTGTTGGACCGGTCTATTGAGGGGTCGAGTACTGTATTGAAGTCTCCGGCAAGAATGATTGGGCAGTTAGAGAGATTTGTGAGGTGGGAAAAGATATTTTGGAAGAAAGTGGGATCATCGGTGTTAGGTCCATACAGATTACCGATTGTAACAGGGTGGTTGTTTATGCAAATATTAATAATTATGTAGCGTCCCTCAGGGTCTGAGACAGTTGAATTATGTACAAAATGAGTATTTCTATTTATTAGAATACAAACACCTCTCTGTTTGCTGTTATAGTGGGATGAGAATAACTGGTTGTATTGTTGTGATTTGATATTGTTGAATGTTGAATTTGTCAGGTGGGTTTCTTGCAAGAGGCAGATGTCAGCATTGAGTTTGGATAGGTGGTCTAGTACTTTGAGCTTTTTCTTCTGATTACCAAGTCCGCGAATATTCCATGAGACTATTTTAACAGTTATCATATTAGTTGCAGATTGTATTTATCATAGAGATCATGTATGTTTGGTTGTGCGTGTGTGGGTGTAGATGCGTGTGTGAGTGTGGATGCGCGAGTGAGGGGGGAACAACAAGCTTGTTGGGGAGTTGGGTGTGAGGGGGAGGGACAAATATGAGGTGAGAGGTGGGGAGTCCGAAGTTCATCTAAAACAAATCCAAGATTGAGGGAGAGAGAGGCCTTCCCCACGCCGGAGATAAAAGAAAGAAACAACAACAAAAAAATAATACAAACAGTGATTCAATATATTATTGTTACTAATAGCAATAATACTGAAAGAAAAAATAAATAAATATTAATGCAAATCGAGTTTGTTCAGCTTTACCTATGCATAAGAGTGAAGCGGTTGTGTCGCTCAGATGACGTCATCGTTGTGTGCCAATGTTTACTACCGAAGTTTACTCACGTGTGGCTGCCTCGTCGCCACCAGAGAGCCAGTATGTGACTTTAGAGTTGCGGTAAAGTCTTCCATCAATGTAGAGTTTATCTATGGACAGCCTTGCTCGCTTTCCCGCGGTCCTCGCTTCGGCTAGGGCTGGATGGAGAAGTTTGCGTCGCTTCATGATCTCTGGAGGGAATTGGTCGCTCAGGGCGAGCTTGGTCCCCTTGAGCTCCTTGCCTCTCCGCATGATGACAGCCTTGTGCCTGGGGTCCAGGAGTTTGGCCACGATAGGACGACATCGGGGTGCTCCTTCACGTAGCTGGCCCAGCCGGTGAGCCCGTGCCAGATCGATCTGCTGGACCAGGTTGTCATCCATCTTGTCAACACATCGTACAAACAAAAATGACAAAGGCCGCAGGCTGTGAGTGACATGTAGAGGGCAATTTCCCCCATTTACGCCGCACATCATCTAATACAAACATATCTAAATAGCAAAACTGGAAGCTTTTGAAAACGAGACACTCTCTGAATTAGAGTCATATATTGACAAAATCTACGAAATGACACAACCAGACGGTAAACGCGGAAGACAGGAGCTAGGCTCTAGCGACTGTGACATGGACATATCCCTTTCAACAGAAATACGCCATATGAGAGAGACAATGGAATCAATGCAAAAGCAATTGAAAAAACTGGACACACTACAAAAACTAACAGAAGATGTCTCGGATCTGAAGACATCACTGGACTTCCACATTTCCCTCGTGGAAGTCCTCAAAGAAGACAATGCATCCCTACGTAATGAAGTTAATCAGCTCAAAACTCTGACAGCGCATCTACAACAAGACTTTGTAAACGCACAAAATCATATTCTCGACCTACAATGTCGAAGCATGCGGGACAACTTCATTATACACGGTTTACCCGAACAACAAAACGAATCTTATCAGTCAACCGAACACCTAGTCAAGACTTTCCTCAAAACTAACCTCAAGATGAGATCTCCTTTCCGAGAGCGGAGGCGAGTGTAATGCATCATGGATCTGTAGGGACAGGGAGAAGTGTCAGAACGAGCTATGACTATGTTGCAAGCGCCTTTGCGTTTGGAATGCTTGAGGTGGAGGTTGAAGTAGTCGGGATAATATGACAGGTCAGAGAAGGCAATGTCTCGGGATGCATTAAAGGTGGCGTGAGAGTTTGTGAATTCGCTTATGCGTAAGAAGCCCATTTTCATGTAGGATGCAGCGGAGGAGAGAAGGTGAAGAGACGGAGGGACTAGACCAGGGCGAGGGATTCCGTGCAGGGGATCTGGCATGGCGATGGATTGGCAGAAGGGCAGAGGCGTCAGAACTCCTGGAATTTAAAGCGAGAGAGAGAGTCAGCAAGACAGTTAGGTGACGAGGGACGTGACGAGCAGTGATGATAAATTGTTCGAGACTGAGAGCCATGTGATGCATCTAAGAAGGATGTGATTTGGGGAGAGGATGAACGACTTCTGTTAATTATTTCAATGACGTCGAGGTTGTCGCACGTCACGGAAATCCTTTTCCTATGCCACGTATGGTTCCGCAGCACGCAGGCTCCGGTCACGGGATATATCTCGTGGAGCGCGGAGGAGATGCTTCGAGGGAAAGCGTCGGGCCGGGGCCCGGCGAGCCACTGGTCCTGGAAAAACCCCAAAACCCACGGACGGGGCTGCGTCCGTGAAGAACCGCGGGGCATCTGAGACAGGATGATGTCACTGTAAAAAAAAAGAGATACACCATCCCAGCGGCTCTGCAAACGGGACCGGAACGCCAGGTCGGAGCAGCGCCCCGCGTCCGGGCAGACGCGTCATCGAGGGAGGAGACGGAGCCGGCGAGGGAAAGGAGTCTGGAATTAAAAGAACGACCTTGGGGAATGATACAGACGGCATAATGAAGATGCCCGAGGAGGGAGAGCAAGGACGCCTCGAAGTGACGGGAAGGCCAAGGCAGACCGGGAGAACGCGCGGATGCGTTCGAGCTTGTCCAGCAGGAGGGAGGCCTCCATGGCGCGTGTGTCGAGGCGGATGCCGAGAAACTCCAGAGCGTTGGCGGGGCCTGTGGTCTTTCCGGAGTGGAGGAATCCGAGGGCAGAGAAGGCGGGCCTGAGCTTGCGGAGAGAGCCCCCGGAGCAGTCTGAGGGTGGGTTGACTACGAGGGAATCATCGGGGAGATGCGGGACAGAGGGGAGCCGCGCGAAATTAAGCAGAATCCGACACGGCGCCTCCGAGAGATTGTTGAACGAGAGGGACTACTCCGGCAGTCAAAGGTGAGGCGCACTGCGAAGAAGAACTCCGACGCCACTTGACCCCTGAACAGCGCCAGTGGTCGGGGTGGATGGCAGCAGCTTGAACGCGACCGGGATGACGGCCTTGGAGAGCCAGGAGCCGGGGCCGAAAGTCTTTATCAGCCTGATCGCGTGGTCCACGGTAGCGGACTGCAGGGAGAAGGGCGCTGGAGGGAAGGGGCTGTTGATGCTCGGGCGGGCCCGGAGCGGGGACAGGAGAGGACGAGTATGAGACGCTTCTTCCTGGAGTGCTTGCGGGTGGCGATGCCCATCGGGTTAGAGCGAGACGGAGAGAAGGGGCCAATGACGTAGCCCACGGACACCTCCCGCGCCCGAGCCGCGTGCCGACTTGGGGCTCACGGAGAGCCGGGAAGAGGTTGCGGGACACGAGACGCCGAGGGACCTAAACAGAGCTTGCAGTCTAATGTGAGGGATTTAAATAGAGCTTGCAGTCCAAAGTGAGGTATTAAAACTGAGCCCGCAGTCCAAGTGAGGCGTTTAACGGAGAGCCTGCAGTCCGGTGCGAGGGAGTTAAACGATGTGAGGGATCCAACAGAGCCTGCAGTTTTTTATTTTTTATTTATTTATTTATATTTATATTTATTCATATTTATATTTATTTATATTTATTTATTTTTATATATAAGCGTTCCAGATATAAGCAGTACCATATATGCAGTTCCAATATGAGCAGTTCCATATAAGCAGTTCCGTATACAAGCCGTTCCATATATAAGCAGTTCCATATATAGCAGTTCCATATATAGCAGTTCCATATATAGCAGTTCCATATATAAGCAGTTCCGCATGAAGCAGTTCCAGGTACGGCATAACAGCTCCAGATATAAGCAGTTCCAGATATAAGCAGTTCCGTGCGGGATTAGCCTGGGAGCTCGCAGTCCAATGTGAGGGATTCAATTTGGGAGCCGCAGTCCAGAGGGATTTAAACGGGGCTTGCAGTCCAAAGAGAGGGATTTAAACAGAGCTCGCAGTCCAGAGAGGGATTTAAAGAGAGCCTGCAGGCCAAAGTGAGGGATTAAAACTGAGAGCACGCAGTCCAATGTGAGGGATTAAACTGAGGTCTTGCAGTCCAATGTGAGGAATAACGGAGCTTGCAGTCAGAGTGAAGGATTTAAACGGAGCTTGGTTAAGAGAGCCTGCAGAACAATGCGAGGGCTTTAAACTGAAGCTTGCCCACCAATGCACGGGGCCAACTGAGCCTGCAGTACAAAGCGCGGGGCGAACTGAGCCTGCAGTACAATGCGAGGGGAATAAACCGTCCGCATACTTACCCACAACGCCAGAAGACAAGGGACAACACAACGGGACCACGCCGTACCGGCACGAGGAGGCAGGGATGCGCACAGCCCCCACCGCACCGGGCCAGACCGGCCGTATGCAGCAGCAGGCCGCGACGAGACGAGCAGCGGCGAACCCGCAGAAAGAGCCCGCAAAGGAGGAGAGCGGCAAAGACCCACGGACCACAGCACGAGACCCGCAGCAGGTGCAGCGACGCGGAGGAGGAGCAACCACACGCAGCAAGACAGAGGACAGCAGGGACCGCAGGAGTAAGCGTGAGTAGACAAAGCGATTCCTCCAGAACGATTCATGCAAGGCTTCAGAGGCCGAGAGTGGGAGTTTCTCCGTTTTTATGCGGCTGGCGAGTCGGTACAGATGATTGGAAGGGGGCGTCTGCTGAGCGATAGGCTGGGGATGCGAGCCGGCCTGGAGGGGGTAATTTTGGTTAACGTCTACCAAATTGAATTTTCGCTGGCTGCATGAGTATGGCAGGAGTGTAGAGGGGGAGGAGTCAGTGTGGAAGCATGACGTCTCTTTGGTCTTCCAGTCTGAATTTACGCTTAAGCTTAATTTCTGTTTTGCTGTGCACACAATTGAAGGTTTTATCTTCACTCTATTTTATGATTGTACAGTGACTATTAATGTGTACTTTTCTTGTTGAGCACTTTGAGTTAGCCTTGTGTATGAACTGTGCTATACAAATAAACAAACTTTATGTCTGACGTTCTGTCAGAGACCGGTGAGGACTTGTTCTAATGATCCATGGAAACAGAGATGTATTTGTGTGCCTTAATTAAAGTTAAAAGAACATAAGGAAATAACTTTTCAGATAAGATACTCAGCTAAAGTCCCTCAGGACTCGGGATCTGGGTCTGCTTTCAATGAACCAGATCCAAACAAACCATTAAGTCATTTAAGGCCTTTATACACATGTCTGCATAGAATGTAAACAGTGTGTGTGTGTGTGTGTGTGTGTGTGCGTGCGTGCATTGAAGGATCATGTTAAGAATGTGCTCTGTCTATGACTTTAAACAAGAATGTGTGTATTATGGTCTTTCTATTGTATATCTGGGAGCTGTCATGTCTCAGCTCTGTGCTCCTTAAGTCGACAAACGACGGCTGTTTCTCTGCAACAACTTTTCAGAGAGCTATAGACACAGCCTGAGTCCTGGATCTACAGCCTCAGTCCTGGATCTACAGCCTCAGTCCTGGATCTAGAACCTGAGTCCTGGATCTACAGCCTCAGTCCTGGATCTACAGCCTCAGTCCTGGATCTACAGCCTCAGTCCTGGATCTACATGATCTACTCTACTCTACCTTACTCTACTATAGTCTACTGTACTCAACTCCACCCTTCCCTGATTGGGAGCGTTTACCATTCCTGTTTGCCCCTACTCTCTGTCAATATCTATTTATATATATTTATGTCTATAAAAATAAAAGCATGCAAATAAAAAAAAAAGCATGGACTTGAAGGACTCCCAAAGTGATTGTGAAAATATTAATAATGATCATAATAATAACAATAATTACAATAATTATAAAAATGTTAATAACAATAATAATAACAATAATAATTGTTCTCCCCGTGTCTGCGTAGGTTTCCTCCGGGTACTCCGGTTTCCCCTACCACTAAAAATATGTACAATAGTTCTGGCATGTGCCTCCTGTACTGGCCCCTCCCATCTCTGTGTGGAGTGAGAGACAAATGCCCAAAATTAACAATTGTAAACCGCTTTGAGACTCAGATCTGCAGTGAAAAGGCGG